CGAAGACGGTGGATCGAGCGCCATGACTTGGAAGGCAGCCGAATGACGTTCCAACTCGGTCCACGCAGTCTGCCTGGTTGTGTGTATGTGTGGAGTGGCGGATTGGTGGGCCGATGGCCAGGCTAAAGCGGCCACTTCCGGACGTGACCTACAGCGACTTCACGCATGTGTGATGTATGCCGATCAACCCCCGTTGTGGGAAGTCCTGGTGATTGATTTGGGGGGGGGGGACTGGTCGTGAATATGGCGCGCGCAGACAAGGTCACCATATATGTCAGCAGCGCGTTCATTTTCCGTTTCAGTCGACTGACCGGCTGGGACAGTGACTGGGGCCTGGGAATGGGAATGGAGAGTAAGGTCGACGATTCAGCGCATTTTCCTCACTATAAACAAGCTGATGCACTTGAAGTTATCGCGGTGCGTTAAAAGACGTGGCATGGAAGGTTGCCAATTGACAGGATAACGTGGACGTCGCAATCGACCCAGTGTTATGTTTTTGTGTGAAGCAGCCGGCTGGTGGTCTGAGAGTCAGGCTGCAGTCACTCCTTCTTAATTTGGCCATTTTGGCATTCCTACTCCGTGGGATCCGAGTCATGCGTGATGGCACGCCTAGGTGCGGCTTCGGTCATGCCAGCCAAACTTTTGTTGTTGACTAAAATTCTGGTCATTTGCTGTGTGGTCCAGGGAGCGTGGAGTGGAATATAAAGGTGCGGGCTCGACTGTGCCATCCACCTGCGCCCCCTCCACCTCTGGTCTTCTTGACTCTGTCTTGACAACGGATCCATGCGGGAAATGGGGAAGAGTGCAGTAAATGCCGTGCGAGCCCAAATTCCCCATAAGTTAATTCACGCACATGTCACTGTTCTTGCTTCACCCTGATGTGGAGCACACGGTTGACATCGTGGGCAATGACGGTCGAACTATCGGTGTGATGTGGGGTTGCAATGGCACGCATGGGTGCGGGTTTACATCGTACCAGCCTCCTGCGGCCTCTCCTACTTTTGGCCTTTTTGACTTGGTCATGACACCGGGCTCAGGCGAGGGAGGAGAGGGTGCGGTAGATTCCAAGCATGTTTACCATTACAATTAAATAACTTATGCGCAATTCACCGTCTCCGCTCTCACTCTGCTGTGGAGCATACGCTGGACATCGTGAAAAAGTCGACGGTCGAACTGCCGTTCACAAACGGCCCATCGTCCTTGCGACAGTGCGATAAAAGATCTCCAGCAGCCTTCGTAACCTATCTCACCCTGGAGTGAAAACAATAGCCACAAAGTTTGCTTGGGATGCTAGTGAAAAAACAAGACTAGACTGCGAGATCTGACTGAGGTAGTCTTTATTAACGCAAGAACTGGTCTCTTCTATCATCTAGAATGCGTATTAAGCATTCAAGCCAATCGCTTGATTAGGCTTTCCACAAAGGATACATGGATTTGAATTGTCTCGAAGGCTGTAGAACAAGACAACACTTTTTGATTTTCTTTATGTTGCTGTAAAAAATTCCGTTTTGCAAAGAAAGCCGCCAAAACGAAATAGTATTAAAAAATTACGTATTGTTTACAGCATAATTACCGACCCACGGTAACCCTGGAGTTTGCACCTTACGTAAACAAGCTTTTTTCACGCAGAATAGTCACCTAACCTGTTTTATTATCGGTAAGGTATAAATTTTTGGGGAAATCAACCCTTCTTTGCATTAACACAATTTTTATGTCGATCACTACTGTGCACCACGTTGCACACTTGAACGTGTTTCTCAAGTTGAGGACCTAAATTAGAAAAAACACCAAAACGATTCTTTAAATTTAAGGTCGATCTCACCGCACGCTTATATTTCTGGTGAAAATGTCAATAATCATGTCGATTTCGGAAAAACTAAGGATATCCTTCTTCTTATTCTCCTTCCTCAAAAGTTTCTATTTGCAACTGTATACAATTTCGTCTTGCACTAATGTCAACAAGCAATCTCTTGTCTCACCACACTTGCAATTTCTAGGCATACGCATGTAAAGAAATTGCAAAGTGGTCGAACATATCTCCGGAAATTCACCTTCCGGTATATTCTGAAGCGGGAATTTCATGCTATTTACTTCGAGCAAACACATAATTTAGCAACATAACGTGATCTGGATTAACCATTTCGAAAGTATTTAGATACTTAGATGGCCACCCAACAGTGCATTTCCAACCAAAGAAAGGAAATTATAGGTAAGCAAATATGAAAACAACGGTCCCAAAATAGGCAGAAAAACTCAAATTTGCTTGCAACAAAGAGAAAACAGTATGTCTGGAAGTGAACAACCAGGTGAAATGGTTTGATTGTACTTCAAGTTTACATTGGAAAACCCCGAAAGGAGGGACACTCATTTGCGACATGTGACAGCGGAACACTCTCAGAGAGAAAACGCTTTGTGTTTTTTATTTGATCCAGAAATGACGCAGTACGGACCTTCTTTATGCACTTTTATTTTCATTTACAATTAATTTTAACGTTCGAGTAAGCTCAGAGTATCATCGTAACCGTCATCTGCACAACAATAAACGTAGAGAACGATTTGCTTAGTCAAACTTTTTTAAGATCTGCCTTATTTTGAAGCATTTTCTAACCATAAACTACAGACAATATTACTTTGGACAGTTAAATGAGGACGCCAATAACCGCATGCAGTGATTGGCTAACGTAAGGTACATCACACCATTACTTCAAGGATATTAAGATTCAGGATTATTCGAAAAAAGTCATTTAACGCCGTCATGTCTATCATGTTTTAAACATTCGGCTGTTCTCATGAACATAAACCAAGCACTTCTATGCCCTACGTTTATCTACTTACAAGAGTGTATATGTCTATGACTGTCTACCAAAAATAAATTGCTTTCAAAACTTTTGTGTGTTATTTCTATGCTGAATGTTCGTCATTTTAAAAGTTGGTAGTATGGCAGAGGTACGCGAGCCGGTTTCTTATTACTTTAGTCTTTTTTGCGAATTAGCGGGTTTCGCAATCCCGCTCACCTACTGTATACGCATGCAGTTTACAAAACAGAGTTCGCAAAGTTCCTAGAGAGCCTGTTCGGCCTCATCTTATTTTTGATAGCCCATTTTCTGCTATATATCTATTATTTGCTTGTATTTAGAGGGAAACCTATGAAGTTTTCATCCTAATGGAGAAGAATGCTTCTGACGCTGAGTAAATAAGGTGATCAGCAGCCTAATTTGCCAGCCAGAGTCCTAATAGAATAACAAAATAAACCAAGTTCAGAGATATAGTGTTTTCCGTCTGAAGGTACAAATACCGCTGAGGTACGGTTAAATCAAGATCACTGCGGATATTATTCCCTCGAATACAGTATTACTAACCCCACGGAATACGAATGGATATTCTGTTTAACCAGTCTCCCAACGCCTTTAGCCGTGTAGAAAATATCACTGTGGATTAACCATATTATGCATTTTTTTATAGTTTTTTAATTTGGCTATAGTCACACACATTTTCCCCAAAAATTTTCTCTTGTTAGCCAAAATGAAAAAAAGAGTAAAAGACAGCTGTACAATTTTACAAAAGTGAATTTTCAAAATGATTTAGTCACACTTCCAAAGAAGTACTGCCACATCTTCGATGAAGAAGTGAATGAAATTGTGGAGTTCATGCGTGACGTTACTAAAAAGAAGAAAAAAACTTCAAAAGTAGTAGTAGAGTAGCAGCCAAAGGCCGCAATGACCACAAAACTTGTTCCACTGACCGCATCTTCGTCTTCTGAACTGCTGCCTGGAACTCGCCTGTTCGCCTCTATCATCAGAAATAATCATAGCAAAAATATACTCGCTAGGTCGGCCATTACCTTGGCACAGAAATAGGGTTCTATCTGCTGACTGGCTTAACATTAAAGGACCTAACTGAAAAAATACGACAGAAAACTCTAAGTAAAGAGAGAGTGCCATTTCGAGATTCGATCAGTGAGGAGAAGAAGACTTTCCTATCAATGGTAGAAGGGCGCTCATTGATCGCGTTGCGGCACACATCCGTCCCGTTGTGCCTTAGGGCTCGCTCTCAAGCCCGGCCAACAGCCGTTTAACGGCTAGTATTATAGGCGGAATAAAATTGCCAACAAAGGCAGGAAGACTGGATTAGGAGACAGCTACGTTTATTAATTACCTGTCTTCTTCGATCGTAGCATAAATGGCCAAAATGTGTTGTTCTCAAAACGAAAGAGAACAGACAGTAGTAATCTAAGATATGAACGAAAAAACGCTCCAGCCAACTGTCACGCATGGACGCCGGTCAAGATATTCTGTGAAAGAGACATTCTTACTCAAATAGCACTAAGAAGGTTGCGTAGTTAGGGTCCTTTATGAGCAAGGGCCTTATAGTTCGCTTTTTTATACAGAATATGACCGAAATAACCTCAATTATCTGTCAAGAGATTGTAATAGAGGGTAGAAAAACCGATAAGTTCCACATCGATCGTGTTTTAAAAGGCATTCAGGGAAGTAAATCGCAAACTTTTTCTTGTCTAAATAATTCGTGTTAGTACATTTATTGAAGTTAGGGGCAAAAACGACTCTATGAAGAATCAGAAATTTAACTAACATTTTTAATCAAAACATGGGAGTCATACAAAACTTTGGCTAGATGGAAGATAAAATTGCGACGCAGAGCTACTTTATCTGCTGCAAGCTTTTTTCAGATATTCAGGAAATAATTACGGGTTCTAATCCATAATTATTAAACTAGCTGGAAGGGTGGCAACATTTGCTTTAATTAGATAATTATGCATTTTTTGTGGAAAAGAAAACAAAAGAGTCTATAACTTTCCTCCATGTGACCGTGTAAATGGTAGCGACAGTTTGACAGTCACGAGCTACGACGCCCATCGTTTGCCCGAAGGAATGGACACAGTACAAGTGACCTGCGCATGAATTGGCCGGCTGTAAGGCAGACTTGTGCAGCACCGACCACGCTCTCTCCTCCCCCACCCATCTGGCTTCGATGACGAGACAATGTCACAACGACCGAAGGTGGGTTCGGCTGCGGTGGCGGCAAAATACGAACAGCCCTTTCAGGTACGTCACACATGAACTGGCCCCCATCAGTTGTACCAGGTTACAGTGAAGGTGACTCGGATCTCGGACGAATGAAAATGTCACATGGGCCGCAGGGAGGAGGGACTTTACAGTCTAACTCTCAATTCTGAGAATGACCGAATAATCCCGTCAGATAGCAAGCTTCAAAGCCACTAGTTTTGGTGCGTGGTGACAGATTCAAGTAAGTCAGACTTATTACAGTGAGGAATGCGCTGATTTGCCATGAAGGTGGATTCCCCATTGTCGACCTCACTGCCTCTTTTTTTTTCTCACGCATTGGTCGACTGTCCGAGTCTGTCAACTAGCTGATGTTGGGATTGCGTCAGGTGTGGGTCTGCGCCTAGGTGTGCAACGACACTTTCCCTCATGTCCGGTAGTAGTTGTGGTTTCGCACGGAATTTGTGTAGCCTGATTAGTGTGTGCCATGGGTCAGTCTGACCCTTGACTTGTTCTATCGCACTTACAGCGGAGTCTGTTCTGTGGACAAACGTATCCAATGAAATGCCTAATTTTGTTGCTGCTCCACCCAACTTTTTCTGATACTAGCCTCCGGCGGTAACTCCTGTAATGCTTCTGAGTCACCCACTGAGTGGGGCATATTTCATTTTTACACCTCCGGATCTGAGTTTTGTAAATCTTTCCTGCCGTATCCTTTTCTTTTTTGTGCATCACCGCAACAAGTTCGTCGCATATAGCGACTCTGTCAGCAGATGCGAGTTTTGAACCCACAAATTTCTAGAATTCTAAAACAATGTCTTTTCATGTCCAACTACCGATTTTTTATCTACAGAAAAAGAAGAAGAGGCTTTGATCATAAGGACATATAGCCCATCTAATCAATTCAGCGCAAAAATTACTCTTGTTAAATTTGGTAACCTGTTAAATGACTGACATATGAGCACTTGCTTCAAAGGTTCCCATCAACAGACAAGATGCTGTCTCTAGTGAGCCGATGCTCCAAGCGGCCTTCTTATTTTTTCCCGTTAGACGAACCCTTTGAGTTCAGGACATAGTATAATTCCGCTCCTCAAATACAGCCTTATATTTTTGTCGAATGCAACTAGAACCGTTTTGACCTGATGAAGAGTTACCGAAAACACGTGTTTGCCAAATTGACTTTTCGAATACGACTGAATCAAAGTGATACCTATGCACTGGAGTAAGATTTTCGGGTGCAGCCGCGGCATTTAACCGCATGATATCGATAAGGCTAAAATCCAGGTTTAAAGTGTGTACTGGAAATGTAGGGAAACAGCCTTCCAGTTGTAAAGGACTGTTTATACTTAGGCGGTTGCAAACAGTATGCCTCCTTTGCAGTGTGACTGTACTTTTTGACTTTTGCTATCCATTCTCGTTGCGTTTTATACTGTTAGAGACAGCTCGAGTGTCTTTATCCCTGTGACAGACATTCAGTACAAAACAAGGCGCTGTTTCACAGCTTCATTACCGTCATTTCTCATTTAAAGGGACATTTGGACGTTTGTTGGTATCTCACTTATTCAAAATCGCTGTAAAAGTGATTTTTTTCCAGGACGGTTTTCGAAGTATTTTTTAATGTTTTGGTGAGGCATAGTTTGCAATGGGCTCTGACTTAGCATTTTGTGTCGTCCAGTGACCACATCACTTTCCATCTTTACCCCGATTTACTAGTCCGTCAGTGCTGATTAATTTAAAGAAACAAAAATCCACTCCAACGTTTTTCCGCATTGTTTAAAGGGATTGGGCGATTTTAAAAGCGTGGTGTCTATTTATGCATAACGGCCCAAAGAAAACTGAAATCTAGGACAAATTTTGTAGACGGGGAATTCAGTAGGCTCTCCTTAACTAAAAACACTGTAAAACCAGGCAGTTTATTTTTGCTTTTTACAGGTTTCATGGTGACTTTTAGAAAATAACTAAAACTGCATGGTTAAAAAAAGCAAATCATAAAAAATTATGCACAGGCAATGAATTTTCCAGAGTTTCGCGCAAAAGTAAATAACACAATTGTCTGATTCATGCCACTAATTGATACATGGTCGAGATGGACATGGTTTTAGATAAAAGAAAAAAGAAAATTTACATTTTGCATGTTAATGGGCATCGCGTAATCCAGTTAACCAAAAGGTATGCCGCCGAATATGACCGTGGCATTAGCAGGCTACTCTGACCGTGGGTTGTTGCTTCCGTTTCCGCTAACTTCGTAAATTGGCTAACATTCCTTACTTCGTGACCCTTAAAACCCGCCACTTTTTCTCAAGATGACTATTCTGAGGGATTTTCAGGCAAAACTTCATTTGTAATGTTACGTTGATAGGCATAGTAAGGCGTCTAGAATCGTGCCTGTAACTCGCTAGGACAGGCTATATGGAGGGGTGATGTGAGAAAAATAAAAAAAGGTAAAAGTGGACGACTCAGATTGCTTGACTGTCAACAACCAACCATTTCCCAAGTTGGGATGACCAGAAACTTGAAGTCCGGTTGAAGTAAACGACACACCATTAAGTAACCGATACGTTGTGGGAGTTGCGATCGAGAACAGTCAAAGCCACCAGGAAATGACTTATGGAAATCCAATTTGATAGCCGGAACAATAGCCAAGGCGGCGTTACTCAGTGTAACTCCCTTAGGGGTACCCCTTCTCGCTCATTAATTGCAGCTCTCTATGGGTCCATCTGATGGGCTCCAGACCGAGTGATTCAAAGCGAAAGTGAATGCCCTTATCACGATTCAACAATAGGCGAGAATTCTAATATCATTCTCCTAGGAATTTAGAAAAACAACAAATGCAACTTCCACAATTCCCTTCTGAGTTTCATTTGGAGTTTTTCCGTCTTGTGAGGCATTTTAGTTGCAACTGACTTCCCGCATAGACGTGTTTCATTCTCCTTCCCGGCGACAGAAATTTTCTGATGAAAAAGCTTCATAACAAAATCTTAACGGTTTGGAGTCCGACATATGGACGAACAATGTCCTATGTAATGAAATATATTTTAAGTCGAAAAGCGATGTGATGCATTCCTGAACATTTTCCGACTAGCAGATATTACATTTCCATAGATTCAGTCAAGTAAATTTTCGTATATATTTAGTATCTCAAGATAATATTAATTAAAATTGAAAACGAAACCGCACAAGGTACAGTCAACTTATACTTAAACAATATTCTTATTAGGGACGGAGTGTTTACCACTTTCAAATCTCATCAAACTGGATCTGACAAAAACACTATTAATAATTTCAGAGAAAAAGGCGATCACAGGAACAACTGCGTTTTGGGGTCCAACACTTCGAATGACACACGGCTGTTAATAATCAAAGACCGGCCGCCTACCCTGGCACGAGCGCTATACTGTAGCCATTATAACAACTCTTTAAAAACCAGGAAAACCGAACCAGTCAGGAAGGGAAACAACCGCATAAATTTCATACGCACCTGCCAAAATCTCGACCAACTGCGCAATGCCAGCCGGAATAAAAATGTCCATCAAACTTCTTTTTTATATAACCTGCTATATTCCACTCGACAGAATAAAGTTGGAGGGCTTCAGCCGCTGTATTGACGGCCTCCTGTTGCATGCTCTCTGGCATATCCGAACTCCGGACGACAGCACGAAACTGTGTTGTCATGACTACGGGGCGACACTGGTAACAGGGGATTAAATCTTTTGGGGAGAATAGCAGTCGTCGCAGCAGCCAGGCTGCCAGAGAAAATAGTCACTGTTGTGAGAATGCTTAACGCATCTGATAGCATAATCATCACCAGAGTCTCATGTACCAGGCGTCAGTGGGAGCCCAATCGAAGGAGCAGGGGTAAGCGCCAAAAGACAACACAAGCAGTCAGTTCAAAATCATAGGTATGTAGCAGTCACGCGGTCATGCAGTAATCGAATTAGCAGCGGCGGCATCAGAAAATTAATCAAGTTCACCAGCAAGCCCAGTTAAAAAGGGGGCGTGATACATACTGTGGTCACAGACACATCTTTGGCGTTTAGCCGATGTATGGATCCACAATGGCCCCAAGAACAATTTGCCTGTGATGAAGGCTTTGATGTCATATAGAAGAAGATTAAGGAAAAATTAACTGAGTTTCATAACAGATAAGAGTCAGTATATTTAAGTGGAGTAGTAACAAGACTGAGTTCACATTAATCCATGCAAAAGCAAGAGTAGAGCCGCATTTATGATTTTTGTTTTCCCTTGTACTCATCTCATCTTGGAAAAGGTGTTTATTTACGAGACGTGTTTTTACTGATTTATGTTGCCTTTAAAAGATGAACCAAAATTGTGCAGGATAGAGAAATAACTAACCACAGGCAACTTCTGGGATCTTTAAACCTATAATTTAATCGTTAGAAGTATAGAAATGTCTACCAGAGCTTTTACAAGCATTTATATAAATGTACCGATACTCAAATATCGTTAATATAGACGTGACTGGATAGTTTACAGTTTTTGGGGTATCCAAGGTGTCCTGTAAGAGAATGAAGCGTTTCATAGATCAGTAAGCGGTGCGTTTGCGCATAACGTGGTCCGTTAACGTCTAGAATGTGTTAAAGAAGCGGACAATTGATTTCGAGATCAAAAAACCGAAGTGTTCCACGGTTGGGACACTTGTAAGGACAGGTGTTGGAAATTTGCCTCTGAGTTGGCTGAGCCACAAAGTTGCCAAAATCCTTTTATTTTTAATTTGCGTATGGAGGGCATTCTAATATGAGCTTTCGCACGCAACTTTATTGATGGCCAACTTTCCTAGAAGCGACCGCAAACGGCGGATTTTCAGTTAGAATTTTTAAGACGGGTGATATTTTATTTATAGGTTTACAGAATGAAAAAAAAACTGGCTTGATATTTAATGCCCACTATTTTCGATTAGCAGTCTCGCAGGTGACGGCGACACATTTAACCAAAAGCTTCTTTGTCCTTATGTACGTTAGATATGCTGTCATATGAGATATTAGCGGAGATTCGAAATGTGTTTTCAATTCCATAAAATTACATAGATAGGGTTGTCATGTTAGATATCATTTTGTACACTGCCAAGATATTCTACTCTCGTCAGGATGCCAACTTTCAAACGGGTTTCGTATCAGCCGTGACGTAAATAAAAGTCCGTAAAATAACAATTTAAGCAGCATAAAATTTCCCATTGATTTTAAGTACCCTTATAAATTTAAACATATTTTACAGAAAGCGCCCACAAGGCATAATTTATCTTACTCATTGGACAAAACTTTACGTCTTTAAAATGTATGCTTGAGAAAAAATCTTTCGATTAAAAAATTTCTCACTTTCGATTAATTTTGAACCTGTCCTCCAATTACACTTACATTTAAAGTTTCCATACCACAAGCTGTGTACTTCTGGTGTTAGGAAAGTTATACATCTCTATATATGTAAAGTAGAGGTCATATAAGACTCATAAAATTTTACGACGCACGTGGACTATGTTGTTCACTTCTTAAGCGGCATTAGTAAATGTGCTAATGCGATAATTTATAATTGGACATTTTATGGCCTTGAAACATTTCAAAATTTGAGGCTTTTCGAAACCAAAAAGACACTCTTTCTTCAAGCATCAAATTTGGAAAAGGCGTAATTTTTTACTAAATGGGTAAGGAAAAGAGTATTTTTGTGCATCGTTTGGTCAGATGGGGTTATGTGGTCGCACCTGAGGTAAATAAATCTCAGCCACCTATAATACGGGACCGGTGGTAAGAGGCGGTTTTTAGAGGTGAGGTCGGGAAACCCACAGGCGACGAGGCCAAATAATTGTATGCAAAAGAAAAGCTATCGGGAATGCGTGGTTGTACTTTGAGTAATTGAGAAATAGCTGCCCCAACCCCTAACCCTAACGACTAACCCTGATTCCTAAACCCAACCCTAACCCTTAACTGCAGCCATGAAGTCTAACCCTGAAACATCCAACGCGATAGTTAGGAGGAGAGGACAGGCAGAAAGTCAAGACCACCAGCATTGAGCTGGAAAAGATAGACACGGACACAAAGAAAAAAGTCCGCCAACAGAACACACACCGCAGTGCACAGCAACACCACGCCAACGTAATCACACCAACTCGAAATAATTGAGTAGGTCAACAGTATCGTGTCCGTCAGGTGTGGTTACATAACCACATCTTACCCACGGTTTCTACAAAATACAGTTAAATTTATAAGTGCATTGAAAATCAGTAGGAAAATTAGCATTGATTGGGTAGTCATTTTTCGGAATCTAGTTAATGCAGGCGCCCGATAAGAAGCCCGTTTAAAAGTCGGCATCCTGAAGTGATTGGTATATCTTGGCACTACACAACATGATAATTAACGTAACAACCCTACTTAAGTGATCCTTTCGAATCGAAAATGCATTTCGGAATTTCGGTTAACATTTCATGAGATAGCATAACTGCTACATAGTGAACTTTTTTATCGCACGTAAATCTCGTCAACACCGCGGAGCGGCTTAGATAACCTTTCGCACTAAACAGATATTCAGGGATTTCAACAAATTTTACGCAATATTCGACGTCCTCGTGACCTCATTTTGATGTTTTAACATCCAATTTTCAATTCCTCTCTCACTAAACCTTAGAAGCATTGTTCTAATTCAACATTTCTAACATTTTATTATTGAAGGATGGCAATACTCGCGCTCAGCATGGCAAAAAGTCAACAACACTTTGGGACAGCCTCATCAGCGAAAAGTCGGCATGACTTGAATTTTTGATAATATGACACACGTTTGTCATCAAATAGCCAGGATAAACTGAGATCCAGAAGTCAAAAGTGCGAAGATAGTTTGTGAAATCCTTTGCCGCAAGGGGCTTCACTGACGGCACTAAGTAAAGTGATGGCGAACAAGAGGCAGTAGTAAATAGGACCTCCTCAACTGAACTTAAGACATACATTAGGCCAGCGGGATGGAAGAACGCCAATTAGGCAGCCCTCCATCGCAGATGGTTGCTTTTGTTGCGATAATTATTTTATAGCCGGCATTCGAATCGGCAACACCTCAATTTCCTTAGCTGTTTTGGTTGTTGGCATGATAATTACTCGGCCATCTGGATTACCAACGCTGGCGTTGCGACCAGTGTTCGCCTGCGCGCTCCTCGGGTGGAACAGGGTCAAGTCAATCATGTCATTGACAAGGGGAAGGCGGGCAGGGGTGATAAGAGCCAATGTTAGAGGCGGGGCGGGAGAGGAAAGGCTCGGAGAGTTGCATGCAGTTATTCGACGTTTGACCTCGAGCATAGCTGAAGGAGACCCTAGAAATCATGCAAAAAGCTTCGCTGGGGTCCACACAACACCCAAAGTCAACAACATGTGCGAGAATACCGCTATTCATGACCCTAGGGGTATAGGGATGTCAGCGGTGGGTTCACGTAATGGTCGTGGTGGTCGCTCATTTGCTTGCAGGTGAAACTGCGCCTAGCGTCCACTTGCTGGCACTCAACGCTCACATGTGGCTCCACGTAGCTGGACTTGTTCAGCGGCCATAGCCCGGGCAACCGTCTCGACCGGCGGGCTAAACCAGGTGAGGGGGCTCTGTGCGCTGTGTCGTGTGCACAGGGTTTGCGGATTCCGCTGGATGGAAGGTCGGATGGAACCTTGCGTCGGCACCGTCGTGACGTGGTTCGTCTTTGCACGCCGCTGGACAGCCGGTGACGGGATGGATCTCCACATCGACATCGCCTTGACGCGCCCACCTACGCCGTCGGAGACTGCGGCTTATGGCGAATTCGAGTCGCTCTCCACTACAACCCGAATTCGTGGTCCCATAGTGGAGTTCAGCCGTGCCACAACGGCACATGGCAGCCCTATTCAGGGATGGCACTGCAAGCCCCCACGAGGGGAAGGGCCTAGAAAAGGTGGCCTAAACATTGCTGGGTACCACGCCGTCTCCAGGCTAGCCAGGGCCGCAGACGTCTTATCATGGTCGAAACAATCAAAATCGAAACAACTACAATACCAATAACAACAACAACAACCATACTCATTCTCCTCATCCTACCTCTTCTTCCTCTTCCTCTGCCTATTCTTTTGCCTATTCTTCTCCTTCGTCACCTTCTTCTCCATCTCCTTCCCGTCGTCCCACTCGTTGTCACCAGATTGGCAGGGTGAGCCCTCTCACTCTGGCAGCCTGGAATGTTCGTTCCCTTTTAGACAATCCGAGGAGCAACCGACCGGAACGGAGGACGGCGCTAGTAGCACGAGAACTGGTGCGCTACAAGGTGGACATCGCCGCACTCAGCGAGACCCGATTCTCCGAACAAGGCCAATTGGAGGAGGTGGGTGCCGGCTACACCTTCTTCTGGAGCGGTCGACCCAGGGCAGAGCGACGGGACGCGGGTGTCGTCTTCGCCATTCGGAACGACATCGAGGGACGACTGCCCTGTTTGCCGCAGGGCATCAACGATCGCCTGATGAGCCTCTGCCTGCCTCTCTGGGGAGGCAAATTCGCCACCATCATCAGCGCCTACGCTCCGACGATGACCAGCCCCGACGCCGCCGGAAGAGACAAATTCTATGAGGATCTGCACGCCCTCTTGGCGACTGTGTCGAAGGCGGACAAGTTGATTTTCCTTGGTGACTTCAACGCACGCGTCAGCACAGACCATACTGCCTGGAGAGGAGTGCTGGGTCCCCACGGTCTCCGCGGCTCAAACGACAACGGTCTGCTGCTTCTCCGCACCTGCGCAGAACACCGCCTCATCCTGACGAACACGTTCTTCTGTCTGCCGGAGCGAGAGAAGGCCACCTGGAGGGATCCTCGGTCGCGCCAGTGGCACCTGCTGGACTATGTCCTCGTCCGGAGGCGAGATCAGCGGGACGTGCTGGTGACGAAGGCGATCGCGGGTGCTGACGGGTGGACCGATCATCGCCTCGTCAGCTCGAAGATGCGTATTCGTCTACAGCCTTGCAGGAGACCACAAGTTAAGCGATCCCCGGGTAAGCTGAATGTTACCTTGTTGTCTTTGCCCGCTCACCATCTTCATTTCAGCAATGAGCTAGCTCAACGGCTAGACAACCTTCCTATCGCTGCCGCCGACGACGACGCCGCCGCCACTGCCGAGAACGCCTCCGTGGAGAACCGCTGGTGTCAACTGCGAGACACTGTCCAGTCGACGGCGCTCGCAGTCCTCGTTCGCGCTCCCCACCAACACCAGGACTGGTTCGACGACAACGACGCCGCCATCAGAAATCTGCTAGCTGAGAAGAACCTCCTACACAAAGCCTACGTAGATCACCCCACTGATGCCACCAAAGCTGCCTTCTACCGCAGTCGCCGCCACCTTCAGCAACGACTGCGCGAGACGCAGGACACCTGGACTGCTCGCAAAGCTGAGGAGATCCAAGGGTCCGCGGACCGGAACGAATGGAAGAACTTCTTCTCTGCGATCAAAGCTGTCTACGGTCCGCCGACGAAAGGCACTGCTCCTCTCCTCAGCGCCGACGGCAACACTCTCCTGACTGAGAAGACGCAAATCCTACAGCGATGGGCCGAGCATTTCCGAGGCGTCCTCAACCACCCCTCCGTCATCTCCGACGTCGCCATCGAGCGTTTGCCGCAAGTGGAGACCAACGTGGACCTCGACCTTCCGCCATCTCTACCGGAGACCATCAGGGCCGTGCAACAGCTCTCCAGCGCAAAAGCACCCGGATCGGACGCAATTCCTGCTGAGGTCTACAAGCACGGAGGTCTCCAACTGATGGATTACCTGACTGCGCTCCTCCAAGAGATGTGGCGTCAAGGTGAAGTCCCGCAAGATTTCAAATACGCAACCATCGTGCATCTCTACAAGCGAAACGGCAACCGCCAAATCTGCGACAAGCACCGTGGCATCTCCTTGCTGAACATCGCCGGGAAGATCTTCGCACGAATCATCCTCAACCGCCTCAATAACTATCTCGAACAGGGCCTTCTGCCGGAAAGCCAATGCGGCTTCCGTCGTCATCGTGGGACCACGGATATGATCTTCGCCGCTCGTCAACTTCAGGAGAAGTGTTAGGAGATGCGGACCAACCTGTACTCTATCTTCGTGGACCTGACGAAAGCATTCGACACGGTGAATCGTGAAGGACTGTGGAAGATCATGCAGAAATTCGGCTGTCCGGAGCGATTCACTCAGATGGTGCGTCAGCTGCACGACGGTATGATGGTGCGAGTCACGGACAACGGAGCTGTCTCAGAGGCATTCGCAGTGACCAACGGAGTGAAGCAGGGCTGCGTACTGGCGCCTACCCTCTTCAGTCTTATGTTCTCTGCCATGCTGATGGACGCCTAACGCGACGAACGTCCCGGGATTCGCATCGCCTACAGGACGGACGGTCACCTGCTGAATCAACGGCGTATGCACTTCCAATCGCGCGTATCCACAACCACCGTTCACGAACTTCTCTTCGCCGACGACTGCGCCCTAATCACCACCTCGGAAGAGGAGATGCAACGGAGCATGAACCTGTTCTTCGCCGCCTGTGAGAACTTCGGTCTGGTCATTAACACGCAGAAGACGGTGGTGATGCACCAACCGCCACCCCACTCAGTCACAGCCCCCAACGCGTCGCCGCAAATCAGCGTGAATGGCACCCTACTGCAAGTGGTGGAGAACTTCCCGTACCTGGGCAGTACTCTCTCCCGCAACACCAAGATCGACAACGAAGTCGCCAACAGGATCTCGAATGCCAGTCAAGCAATTCGGTCGCCGCCAAAACACAGTTTGGAATCGCCACGGTCTTCAGCTGAGCACGAAGCTGAAGATGTACAAGGCCGTCATCCTGTCGACACTACTGTATGGAGCGGAGACTTGGACGGTGTACGCAAAGCAGGCACGCCGTCTGAACCACTTCCACCTCAGTTGTCTTCGTCGCATCCTGAGGTTGAACTGGCAGGATCAAATCCTCGTCACTGATGTGCTGGAACGGACGGAAATCCTCAGCATCTACGCCATACTGAGGTACATTCAGCTGCGCTGGAGCGGCCACCTGGTGCGCATGGACGACGAGCGACTACCCAAACGACTCTTCTACGGAGACGTCGCGATGGGTTCTCGCCGTCAAGGAGGCCAGATTCGCCGTTACAAGGATACCCTGAAGTCCTCCCTGAAACGCCTGCAAATCAACCCGACCAACTGGGAGGAGCTCGCACTCGATCGACCGACCTGGAGGAGGACAGTGAAGACAGGCGCTGCGATCTACGAAGCCAACCGCATCGCTGCCGCCAAAGCGAAACGCGAAGCCCGCAAATCACAACTTCGCCCAGTCAGCAACGCCGCCGCACAACAGCTTCCAACGTGTCCTCGATGTCAACGGACATTCCGGGCTCGAATCGGACTTGTTGGACATCTTCGAATTAACTGCGCCTCTCGAACGGCACCAACCATCGTCCCCCGCGCCCGCCTCTTCCTCCTCCTCTCCGCCGCCAACTAACCCTGACAATTCTTCTGACCCACCACTTCCATCATCCTCCTCCTCCTCCTCCTCCTCCTCCTCCTCCTCCTCCTCCTCGCCCACTGCTCCAACGGCGGCCGCTCAGGCGACTGTCTCGCGCACAACAACCGACACTACCACCACCTCCCCCGACTCCAGGGATGAGGATCAGGACTACACATGCCCTCACTGCGACCGTACCTTCACCTCACACATCGGCCTGGTCGGTCACTTGCGAATCCATCGCACAGAGACTGGCGAACCAGTGCGTGAAGCACCAACCTACACCCACCGCACTCGCCTCCACTGCCCACACTGCCCTCGCACCTTCAGACATCGCATGGGCCTATTCGACCACATGCGCATCCACGACGACCTGCGGTAGACAACCGCCGGTCACACCACACATTCACTCACTCCCTACCTCCTCCTCCACCACCACCACCACCACCCCACCAGAAATCAACACTCACGCACCTCATGCACCCAACTGCCACCTCCCACGCAAGTGGGAAGTCCGCATCTCGACTCGGTTCCCATGCGGCTTCGGCTGCACGGGTGACTTGAGTCCGAGACTATCGCGACACGTCAAGCGTCCTGGATAGGAAGGTTGCTGATTGACGCCCGCTCTCGGTTCACGCAGTTCGTCGCATTGTGTGTGTGTTGTGTGGAGTGGCGGACTGGTTGGCTGGGGACGGGCTGAAACAGCACCTTCCACGGCACTCTCACGCAAGTGAGAGACACGCCGTTCAACCCCCGTTGTGTGAAATCCTGGTGTTGTGTGTATGGGGGGCCAGGTCGTGCCGTGGCGCGCGCAGTCATGGTCATTCGACCATGACAGCCACCGCGCCCATTCCCCACTCCAGTCTGCTGACCGGCTCGGACAGCGGCTGGGGTGTGGGAGTGGGAAGGGACAGTGAGGTCGACGACTCAGCGCACTTTCTCCTCACTATAATCAATCTGAAGCGCTTGAAGCTATCACGGTGCGCTAAAAGCCGTGGCTTGGAAGGTTGCCAACTGACGGGGTAACTTGGACCTCCTCCTTAACGGGAGGCGGTCTGAGAGTCAGGCTGCAATGGCTCCTTTTTAAGGTGGCCTTTATGGCACTCCCATCACAGTGTGGGATCCGAGCCAGGCGTTGGCGGCACGCCCAGGTGCGGCTTCGGCCGTGCCAGCCTCCAAATCTCTGTTGTGTTGGTTGAAATCCTGGTTATTTGTTGTGTGGACCAGGGGGTGTGGTGGAACGCCAAGGTGAGGATCCGTCCGAGCCATCCACCTGCGGCCTCTCTCGTCTCCGGTCTTCTTGACTCTGTCTTGACACCGGGCTCGGGCGAGGGAGGAGGAGAGAGTGTAGGTAGATGCTACGCAAGTCCACCGGCACTATAAACCGCTGCGTAAGTCACCGTCCCTGCTCCCATTGCTGCTGCAACTGTGGGGCACACGGTGGACATCACCGAAACCGATGGTCGAACTGTCATCATGACCCTAGTTCCACCCTTTCCCAGCTGTGACGGAAGCTGTTCTCGTATCCTTTTTGATAGGCGCCGACTCGCGCGACCAAAATAATCTGCGCCACAGAAGCAAGTAAAGCAGTAGGTGCACATTTAGGTGGTCCGAGATGGTAACCTATCCTTGGGTTCACAGTGTAAAACAGGACTATTAGGTGATTATATACGAACCCTTGTTACTGGGATGGTGCGCGAGAGAGCTTAATCAAGGCGTCTTCTTAGGAGTCCACTCTCAGCCGTCCTCTATGCCCTGACAGAGCAAGAAAGACAAGAATTCGGAGGCCACACTCAGTTCACAGGGAGAAAACGCGAAGAGTGCAAATGAAATAAAACCAGCATCACGGCTTCCAAAAGATCCAGGTCAGTAAGCACACTACCATTTATATATGACATTTGGTGTAACACCACTTAAAGCATTATCCCTTGGTCCTAAGTTTTGCATGTCTCGTCGAAAATTAATCACTTGGAATTAGAAAACCCGTTTGAGAATTTCTGAAACCAAACCTATGATCTAATGCCTGCTTCCGCAGACAATATCCAATTACGACGAAGTGGCGTTCATAGATCAAGTTACGGGACATGCTCCTCCCGTTGTACCATGGGGTTCGATTTTAGAGCTCTCGCAGGCAGCCGCACAGCGACCAGTTGCATATGCATATGATGGAGTAGCTACAAATACAAGGGAGACCGGATTTCTGGCTTATAGGCCGTCATCAACCAGTCATACCCAGTCCAAAGTGTGAGCCATCTCGGACTGCCTGTGGGGGCTCTAGATTGAGTCTCAAGGCACAACGGAACGAGCAGGTTCCGTAACTTGATCGGTAAACGCCATTTCATTATAATTAATATTCGCGATCACAACCGGCAGAAAATCAAGCGCCTAGTTCATTGGTAGTGTTCGACTCGATGAGTAAAGATCACGGATTCGAATCCCAGGTGGTTTACACTTTGGTATGACTGGCTGATGACGGCTAATGAGCCACAAATGGCCATTCCAGTCTCTATTGCCTTTGTCCGTACTCCATTACAGTATCCAACACTTTAAATCAACACTGGTGAATCACAGTTATTAGTGCCTGAATAAGGAGTCAAGAAGTCGGGGATTGCTGACAAATGCACACGCAGAGGAGTTAAATGAACTTCGATAGAACAGGGATGTTTCTGTAACTAGACTGGATCAAGGCACAGACATTTGCTAATGAGCAGATCGAATTACGTAACAGAGGGCTACAGTCCATCTCGTCGGACCGGAAGAAGTTCAAGAAGGTAGACGAAGACAAGGATTGCATGGATGAAGAAGAGGCAAAACTGACCAACCCTCTAAGGAGGTTCAAGGCAGGGGGTCTGTACGCGACCTTGACCTCGAACACCTGATCAGTCATACATATATCCCTCGTTTGTAAGGTTTACCTAAGATCCATAAGGACAGCCTGCCAGCTCGTGCTATTTTGGACATGCGAAACTCCCCGTATTATGCGATAGCTCAGTGGTTAGCAGAGAAACTCAAGTCCGTATAGCATTAGCTAGCATTAGGTAGCTATCGAGATACCTTCGAATTCATTCTGCACATCAAAGATCCTAATCTTACCGGCATCGGGGTGTTCTCGCTTGACCTCCCGGTCACCGAGGCAATTGATTACACCTGCGAATTCCTATAAACCGATCTGCAGGAAATAAGAATTTCAACAAACCCCCTCAAGGAACTATAGTAAGATGCACGTTAAATGTACAGTTCCTTTTAAACAACTAGCTCTGATTGGTGGTTTGACCGCAGCATCCGACGATGTCCACTATGTGCTCCACAGCCGGGTGAAGTAGACGCGGTTACTTGCGCGTGAATTGGTTTACAATAAGAATGGACTTTTGTAGCATCAACCGCGCCCTATCATCCTCCCCAGCTGAGTCCGTTGTCAAGACATGTTCAAGAAAATCGGGGGTGAGGGAGGACGCAGGTGCCTGGCGCTGCCGGACCCCCACCTCGGCGTACTACCACACTTCCTGGTCCACAACAAACATATGACCAGGATTTTGACCAACAACAACAACAACAAAGAGGACGGGGATTACCCGACAGCCATACACACGACCTGTGTACCCGACAGGAGCGCAAGCGCATCTACCGCCATAAAACCAGTCACCGGGGAAATGCCAGTGCACACCAGGCTGCGAGGGCTCTGATTTGTTGATTCTGGCACAGCAGACGCTCACAAACTTAGGGGCGCAGAAGGGTGACACCCAGCCCCGTATTCGCCTGGGTTATCACCCTTCAAAGGCTGGGTAGCCAGTCAGTCAGCGACTGAAAGGCACAACCCATTAAGTAACATACACACCTCACATGCGTGAGAGTGCCAGGGGTCACTTTAAGATGGAGCAGCGACAGTCTGACTTTCAGCCCACCAGTCCGCCACTCGACAAAAACACACAACTGGGCAGATTGATTGGACTGCGTTGAGGCGTCAGTTGGCAGCCTTCCAAGCGACGGTACTCGGTGCACCGTGATAGTCTCAGACTCGAACCACGCATCCCACGCAAGTGGGATGAGGCAATCGAGTGCCTGCAGTGGTCTTATTGTTGTGTGATGCGGTCGTTGGCGGAGGATGTGTAATATAGTCGGCGGTTGTCTCCCACAGCTTTTCGTTCGTGCGCATATGGCCTAAGAAGCCCATGCGGTGAGTGAACGTACGGAGCAGTGAGGGCAGTTAAGGCGGATGCGGTCAGTCTCCGTGCAATGGATTTGCAAGTGACTGACCAGGCCGATGCATGAGGGGAAAGCGCGATCGCAATGGGGAGGGGTATGAACTGAGTCCATATCGCTGGAGGTGGAAGTGTTGGTGGTGGTGGGACATCAGACGTCGTCTTATCATCGAGGGGAGTGCATGAGGTCGTGGTGGTGATGCTGACCGCCGCTGCGCTCAGTGCAGGGTTTGGGGCAGGGCAGATGTCGGTGGATAATGGCAGCGGGGCAACGACAGTGTGGTCGGCGGTGACGGGGTGGTGGCCGGAGCGGGGTTTGCGGCAGGGGCGTGAGTGGGAGAAGAGGTAGACGTTGTTGGGTTGATGACGCATCGGGTCCGAAGGTGTCCAGCGAGACCGATTCGTGCGCGGAATGCGCTTTGGCCGCGCGGGCATGTTGGAAGCGGCGGATCGTTGGCATTCAGGAGGCTAGGCACTTGAGATTTACGAACTTCCCGTTTGATTTGGCGGCGCCGATCTGATTTGCTTTGTAGATGGCGGCGCCAGTCCTCCAAAGTCTCCGAATTGATATGCAATCGCTTAAGAGAATTCTTTAGTGCGTCCTTGTAGCGTCGTTTTGGGCCTCGTGGTCGGCGAACAACGGTGGCGACATCACCATAGAAGAGTAGTTTTGGTAGACGTGTATCTTTGATCCTCACGAGATAGCTGCTCCAAAGTAGATGCAGTTGTCTCAGCATTGCGTGGACGCTGAGGATTCCCGTCCGTTCTAGAACCTCCGTGTCGGGGATTCTGTTTTGTCATCTCGGCTCTAGTATTCTGCAAATGCAGCTGAGATGGAAGCGATTGAGCATCTCGGCATGGTTGGGGCAGACGGTCCAAATCTTTTCTGCGTAATGAAATGTCGGCAGGACGATGGCCTTGTACATCTTCAGTTTGGTATTCATTTGGAGGCTGTGGCGATTCCACGCGGAGTTCTGCAGTCGGCCGAAGTATTGGCTGGTTTTGGGAAGCCGCTGGGCAATTCCGTCGTCGACTGTGATGCAGCGTGACATTGTATGCTTAGGTAGATGAGTAATTCACGGTTTTCAATTCGGTGCCGTTAACGCGGGTGTGAGAGACACTGTATTCAGCGATCCAACTCTATAGACAAGTAGATGGTTTTACTATGGGCGAGTCTCCTGAACCTCTCTTAGTCGGCGCCTTCATGGAAAAACTGGAGAATTTTCAATTATGGAATGAGAGCAATAAGCTGAAACATTACGTTCGCTGCGTCCATGACATCTTTGCAGTTTCTCTCCCAGAAACTGACGTAGTTGCACTCTAAAATGCCCCAAATCAGGCACATCCTTCTATCAAGTTAACGTTGTAGACGGAAACGGCTGGTTTGCCCCCTTTATTAGGTGTCCTTTTAAGCAGAAAACCTGATCCTAGCGTCGGAACGGGGGCCTATCTTAAGAAAACCTCGTCTGGACAATACACGACCTTTGGCAGTTTCATGCCTCTCCAACAAAAAAACGAAATCTAGTCCGGTGCTTGGCGCATAGGGCTAGAAAATATTATTCTACAGACAGCATCGAGGAGGAGTTTAGAAAGATCCAGGACTTACTTTGCGAAAACGGGTATCCTGACAGGTTTATTGCAAAAAATATTGCCGAGCGCACGGAAAAAACCGAAACACTGACTGCCCAAGAGAAAATAGTTCTTTAAAGTCCCTTTTCAGGGGACGTTGCGAGTCGACTCCTAAAAAGACGCCTTGCTCAAGCTGTCTCGCGAACCATCCCAGTAGCAAGGGTTCAGATATTAACCCCTAATAACCCTGTTTTACATGGTGAATTAGGAATATGTTGCCATCTCGGATCACTTAAATGTGTACCTACTGCTTTACTTGCTGCTGTGGAGCAGATTATATTGGTCGCGCAAGTCGACGCCTATGCAAAAGAATTCGAGATCGGCTGCCGTCATGGCCGGGAAAGGGCGAAATTAGGAGCATGAGCAGCGGTATTCTTGAAAATGTCGTTGACTGCGGGCGTTGTGTGGATCCCAGCCAAGCTTTTAGCATGATTTATAAGGTCTCCAAAAAATTACGTTAAGGTATAGGGACCTGCGTCCGTTAGCAGCAACAAAAGCGGCCGCCATCTGGTTACGAAGGCCGGTCTTGGGCGCGCAGAAAGACCTCCTTCAGGCTCAGCGCTTACTGTAATAAATGGTCGACTAACTGCATGCAACCCTCCCGGCCTTTCCGCTCTCCCCCGCCCCTGACACTGACCATTATCACACCTGCCATCCCCCCTTCCCCCATATTCCCACACTCCGTCTATGTTTTAAGTCGACATTCAGTCGACTCCTCTGCTCACTGATATGTTCGACTTGACCCGTTTCGCATATAAATGTACTGGCCTGACAAGAATTTATCGAAAGTGGACGTACGCTCGTCGAGTAGTCTTCTGAGTAGTTGAGTATGTTGTCAGTTAGACCATATCCATAAGGCCTTTCATCAAAACTTCGGTGGTTAACAACATCAAGGATCTTGGTGGTGCCTTGAAATCCTACTTCAACAACACTCTTGCCGTCTTGTCTCCAGCTCAATATTTGTTATTGTAACACGATGGTTAGTGAGACATGATCATTCTTGTGGAAAGCCGTGTTGACCTAGGTTTATGTATCTGTGGCCATCCGGGTAATTACACAAACAATCATGGAGGCATTTTTAATGATTTACGCTAGTGAAATTGACCGGTCCATAGTTTGCTGCCAGCTGTCATGTTCATTCGTTGATTAGAGGGAACGATGAAGGTCTGTCTTCCCTCCTTTGAGGTAAATGTTTTAGGTCTGGCACCAAACAAATTGTCTAGAAGGGCAATTAGAACCGAGACATGAGCGTCAGCAGAATTCGATGCGAAGAATTCGGTTCTGGGCCTCACTTGCGCTTTGGCGCAATGAATGACGTTCAGTTTCTGTTGACCGGCTTACTAGGTTTTCAGTACGGACAACTCATACGACTGTGAAAATAGACGTAAGGTGAGAGTTAAAGAGTTCGTCTTGTCGTCTCCATGTGGTACCACCGCTTTTTGTAGGCTCAGTTGGGCACTGGTTACTTTCCATACGCTTGCGGACACAGTGATTGTATCTTTTTATTTGAGCTCTGACAAATTCCAGTGGCCTCTTTATTAAACGAACGCCACTCCGTCCTATTGGATTAAGGATCCAATTTGCCGTTTCATGTTCCTGTGGAATTTGGCTAGTGGCTTCTTCCTCGCTAGTCTTGTCAGAGCTTGTTTCTCGTGTGTTTACTGCGAAGTTACTGGCGGACATCCTTAGACTGTTCAACCGTTTTTGGTACGCGAAGCGGTGGCCATTCCGATTGCTGAGTGCAAACATATTTGCTATATCGAATATCCATTCTAAATCGAATGCCGAACAAAGTAGTAAGAAAGCCTTATCTTTTAGAACCCATTTGTGTTACTTGATGGGCTTCCAGTACTGGAAAGGCTCACAGAAACTGACTCATAGCAACATGATGGATTTTGCCTATTGAAGGGTCTGAAAGATTAATAACCTATTAATTAACAAGAATACAATGCAAAGGTAGAATGGGAAGTGGTTTGCAAGGAAACGTGTGGACACACTTGCCGTCTGGCCGAAATAACTTTAGTGGGAAAGCGTTAGTTGTTTTGGTGCCGGGGCTGATATTATCAAAAGTCAGTGGTGAAATTATTCCGTCAACCAACGCAGCACTGAAACTTCCGAACTTCATGACGGTAATGCTCCAAGAGGTTTTACGCGAAATAAGTTCGTGCGTCTGGCCTACGAGGACAGTTGCGAACGGATGTAGACAGCAGACTGTGAAGATGTCGAAATTAATTAGGTATACGGTTTGAAAGGCCTCCGAAAGGTCCTCCGACGTCATATGTAGATGTGAGGTGGTATGGAGGACGCAGTTGCTACTCGAACACTTGAATTGCTATATTTCTTTTGGCGAAAGCGAGACAGCCTTCACTAGCCAACTCTAGATCGGATTTGTCCGCGTTTGCCTAAGTTTTGTGATACACACTATATGCAGATTTTTGAGACAGAAAATGATTGGGCTATGCGAATTTTTTTCTAGTGTTGCATGTTTTTGTGAGTAGGAAAATAAGCTGATATCTTTATTAGGAACGTCGGTTTATTAGTGCTTTCCTCGGGTAAGCAGTTCTGTAGGGAGAGACTGGCAGACCGGACCAGCGCAGGGTGGGGAATATAGCGTTTAGGAGTCGCACGACCGTTTTTGGCTGACTTGGATCGGATAAAAAAATTCACAGTATTTTGACACCGTTCTCGGCTAATTCCTAAACGCACTGAGTGGACCTTTCTGCTGTCGGAAGACGGCTGGCAGGTGAAATGTCTTAGGGACCTCGCGAGCTGTTGCTGGGCAGGAGACATAAGGGACGGTGGGATTTAAGTCCTACTGTCTCCTTATGCTTATTTGTGCGATGAATGTGCCTTAGGGACTTAATATTAATTAAACTGATATGGAGTATCTTCGAAGTCGCATTGTCCGCCTTCCTACCTTCGAAGGCCTTGTCTACCCATGGTTTCGCAAGGTCTAGCGGAGGCGCACTATGTACATAAAACCATTCTACTTCGGTATTTAGCATGCTTTTCCTAAGTTAAGCTACGACCGATGTTAGCATGCATCTTTGCACTCCTATGTCTTTGAGGAAATACCCGATAGGACGTAGCTGCCTGCGTGTTTGTTTGATTTAAACGCGAGACTGCAGCTGAATGAACTTCCCCTGCTGCACAAACATCCAGTAACCAGTCTCTCCACTACGAAAGGTATCCTAAGCCTGACCAGGCGCTGGCTTGATTACACCTTGTCTATGCGCATTGGAAGCACATTTTTGTAATCCGCTTGACGCCTAAACAGAAAAGGTTACTGATTTGAACGGGTTCATTAGGCCAGCAACTTCGCATATTCTTCCTTTAGTCAGCAACCTGATTATATCCCCCTGCACGCAGGTTCCACAGAACCAGTGCAAATACGCACTTTCTGATTCCTGTAAGACAGGACATGAGAACTGGAAAAACCTGTGATACGGGGACTTTGAGCCAACTTCCAGCTAAATTAGGGTTAGGTCTAACGCTAGGGTTAGAGTTAATTTAAGGTGTAGGTTTAAGGTCAGACTTAAAGGTAATGGGAAGGCCAGTCAGGATGAAGTTTAGAGTTAAGGTAGAGTCCAGTGTTAACTGCAGAGTTAAGGTTTAGGGTAAAATTAGGGTGAAGATTAGGGCAATTGTTTAGTTTTGTATTATGGTTAGTGGTGTGGGTTAGAACACGGGAATGTTTGCCATTTCAAGAATTGTGCGCAGGTCCGCTTTTATTACTTGGCGGAACATTCCTATCTCCATGTCCTTCTTAGAGGGCCACATACAGTAGATGTGCTAACTCATGAAAT